ATGTTGCTGGGGCCGCTGTGAGCCAATCATCAGCCGGCAGCTGGAAGTTTGCTGGGGCCCCTTTGGCTGTGGCTCTCAACAACCTTCCACCATACTTTCAACATTTGTATTGTCATTCATTAAGACATTTTGTCATTTAGATGAGTTGAAAATGGAATGTTTGTTGTTTCAGTTAATTTTTTTTGTTTCATCTTAGAATTTTTTTTTTTTTTTAAAGAAAGAGAGAGAGAGAGTGAGAGAGAAAGAGAGAGAATTCTTCAATATTTATTTTTCAGTTTTCGGTGGACACAACATCTTTGTATGTGGTGCTGAGGATCGAACCCGGGCAGCACGCATGCCAGGCGAGCATGCCACTGCTTGAACCACATCCCCAGCCCTCATCTTAGAATTTTTAACTTAGGGTTTTTTTCTCCTATTTGGTTTTTTTTTTTTTTGGGATGCTTATGGGGTGTGTGTGTGTGTGTGTGTGTGTGTGTTACTGGGGATTGAATTGAACTCAGAGCCCTCACAAATGCCAGGCAAACCTCTGTGCTCTGTCTGTATTACATCCTCAGCACAGGTTAAATTTTTTTCTTTGTGTTAATTTGTTGAAATTTATTATATATTCTGAATTGATCCTTAGAAATATACATTGCAGTTATCATCTTCCAGTTTTTAGCTAAGCTTTAGTTTATTTAAGTTTTTTTTTTTTTTTTTTTTTTAAACTGGGAATTGAACTTAGGAACACTCGACCACTGAGCCACATCCTCAGCCCTTTTTTGTATTTTATTTAGAGATAGGGTCTCATTGAGTTGTTTAGCACCTTACTTTTTGCTGAGGCTGGCTTTGAACTTGSGATCATCCTGCCTCAGCCCTCTTGGGCTGTGGGGATAACAGGCACGCATCACCGAATTGGGCTACTTGTGGTATCTTTTAAGGTATTTAAGTTAACATGGTTGAATTTGTCAGTTTTTTTCCTTTGTAGGTTCCCTTTTTGTGTAATCTTCTATTTCCTATATAAGAACATTCCTATAAGGAATTTTCCTATGGAATTTTAAAGTATTCATTTTAACATTTAGGTCTTTATTCCATCTGTAACTTCTCTGTATTATGTGATGGGGGGATCTAATATTTTCCCCCAGCTATCCTAACACTATTGATTGCCTGTTCTTTTACCCCATACACTTGTTATGCCAAGTTCCAGTATATACTTGGATCCATTTCTTAGCATGCTATTTTGTTCTAGTGACTGATTTTCCCCCCATTATCTGCTGAAGTACTACAGTATTTTTAATTATTTTTACTTTGTAATAAGTCTTGAAAATTTTAAAGTCTCACTCATGTTGTTTTTTCTTCAAAATTGTCTTGACTACTGTATAATCTAATTGGGAAATTGTATAGGAATTAGGTATCAGGTGCTTCTGTGCCAATATTGTTAATTATGTTAGGTTTGAAAATGGCTTTATGGTTATATAAGAATGTCCATGTTTTAGAGTTGTTTACTTAATTGTATAAGGGTAAAATGACACAAAGACTTGGATTTACTTTTAAGTATTTTAGCCAGCAAAAGAGGAAAGGATGCATGAATGAAGTAAATGTAGCAAGATATTAGTTATTTTTAATCTGGATGATGAAGTAGAAAACTTCATGAGATTAGTTTTTAAAATGTTTAATAGTTTAGGGCTGTGGCTCAGTGGTTGAGCACTTGCCTAGCATGTGTGAGGCACTGGGTTTGATCCCCGGCACCACATAAAAACAAAAACAAATAAATAAAGGTATTGTGTCCATCTACAACTAAAAAAATTTTTTTTAAAAAGTTGTTTATTAATAAACCAAGAGAGATTTAAAAAAATGTTTAATAGGTTAAGTGTTTAGTCTGCATAATTATCTAATTTTAATATTTGTGTTTGTGTTTTGTATATTAGATCAAACTTGGACATAGATCAGAAGCTAAAGATGGTAAGTATTTCAAATAATCTGACAAATTAGGAAATGTTCTTACTCTTACTTAGGAAATAAGCAAATTATTATTAAGATTTAGCAGTGGTTTTGGATAGAGTTTTTGTAGTGTTCCTCCCAAAATAAAGATAGACTTAGGACAGAGAGAGGACATTTGATGATTTTCACTATTTGAGTGTTCAGAGGAACATTCAAATACTTAAGTAAATGGAAGGCAGCAAGTTGCCTTGTCTTGCTGTACTCATTACTGTTTTAGATATTAGAAGCATTGTTTTTTCTATTGCTGAGCTTCTAATTACTTTGAAAATTGAGGGGTTGGGGATGTGCCTCAGTGATAGAGCACTTACCTCACATGTGTTGGAGTACTGGGTTTGATATTCAGAATCATATATGAATAAATAAAATAAATAAAGGCATCGTGTCCATCTACAACTAAAAATTTTAAAAATGTTTAAAAAATTAAGGCTACATCTTCATGGAAATACACAAAGTTCGCTACAAAATGCATACACGGAGAAAAGATTTCTTTTATGTTTCTATGTTGATCTTTATATTGCATAGGTATCTTTAAAATTTCTCTAATTAGTTATACATAACAGAATGCATTTTAACGCATCATACATAAATGGAGTATAACTTCTCATTTGTCTGTACATGATTTAGAGTTACACAGGTCATGTATCATATATGCACAGAGGATAATAATGTCTGATTCATTCTACTGTTATTCCTACCTCCATGCCCCTTTTGTTCTCTTCACTCCCCTTTGTCTAGTCCAAAATACCTCTATTCTTCTTCTTCCCCACTTATTGTGAATTAGCATCTGCATATCAGAGAAAACATTTGGCCTTTTGTTCTTGGCTTATTTCTTTTAACATATTATTCTCTAGTTCTATCTATTGACTGGCAAATGCCATAATATTATTATTCTTTAAGGCTGAATAACATTCCATTGTGTATATATACCACAGTTTCCTTACCCCTACCTCTGTTGAAGGACACCAGGTTGGTTCCATATTTTAGCTATTGTAGATTGAGATGCTATAAACGTTGATGTGGCTGCGTCAATGTAGTATGCTGATTTTAAATCCTTTGGGTATAAACCTAGGAGTGGGATGACTAGGTCAAATGATGGTAACATTCCAAGTTTTCTGAGGAATCTCCACACTGCTTTCCATAGTGCGCCGATTTTCAGTCCCGCCAATAAGAGTGTACCTTCCTCCCCTACATCTTTGCCAACATGTATTGCTTGTATTCTTGATGATTGCCATTCTGACTAGAGTGAGATGGAATCTCAGTGTCATTTTGATTTGCATTTCTCTAATTGGTAGAAATGTTGAACGTTTTTTCATATATTGATCAATTGTATTTCTTCTGTGAGGTGTGTATTCAGTTCCTTTGCCCACTTATTAATAGAGTTATTTGTTTTTTGGTGTTAAGTTTTTTGAGTTCTTTATATATCTTGGTAATTAATGCTCTGAGATGCTGTGGTAGATTTTTTCCTATTCTATATGCTCTCTCTTCATGTTTTTGATTGTTTCTTTGCTGTGAAGAAGCTTTTTAGTTTGATTCTATCCCATTTATTGATTCTCTTATTTTTAATGTATTATTTTAGTTGTAGGTGGACACAATACCTTTATTTTATTTTTATATGGTGCTGAGGATTGAACCCAGTGCCTCACACGTGCTAGACAAGGTCTATACCACTAGCCCCCCATTTATTGATTCTTGATTTTGCTTATTGTGCTTTAGGAGTCTTGTTAAATAAGTTATTTCTTAAGCCAACATGGTGTAGATTTGGGCCTGCTTTTTCTTTTGTTAGGTGAAGGTCTGTCTCTGTTCTAGTGCCTAAGTCTTTTGATCCACTGTTGAGTTGATTTTTTGGCAGGGTGAGAGATAGGGGTTTAATTTCATTTTACTACATGTGGATTCCCAGTTTTCCCAGAACCATTTGTTGAAGAGGCTATCAAAAAGATTTATTTCTTAGTCATCACAAAATAGTTCTTATTAAAACACGTGCCTATAATCGCAGCTATTATGAGACTGAAGGAATAGGATCACAAGTTCAAGGCCAGCCTGGGCAAACCGTTTCTCAAAATGAAAAGGGTTAGAAATGTACCTCAGGGGGCTGGGGATGTGGCTCAAGAGGTAGGTAGCGTGCTCTCCTGGCATGCGTGCGGCTCAGATTTGATCCTCAGCACCACAAACTAGAAAATAAATATTAAAAAATTCTCTCTCTCAAAAAAAAAAAAAAAAAAAGAGAGGAGGAAATTAATTTAAAAAAAAAAAAAAGAAAAGAAATGTACCTCAATAGTAGAGCTGTCTTTTGCGGGGGCTACCAGGGATTAATATCAGGGACATTTTACAAATGAGCCACATCCCCAGACCTATTTTGTATTTTGTTTAGAGACAGGGTCTCACTGAGTTGCTTTAATGCCTCACTTTTTTTTGATGAGGCTGGCTTTGAACTCAAAATCCTTGTGTCTCAACCTCCTGAGCTGCTGGGATTACAGGCATGCACCACCGCACCTGGTCTCAGTAGTAGAGCTCTTACCTAGCTTGTATAAGGCCCTGGGTTCAATTCCTAGGACTACAAAGAAAAAAAGGAGGTAGGGGCAGCACCATATCTTTATTTTGAATTATATCCTTTATGTTAGAAAAGATACTGTCTTATCATTTGTTTCCTTTTAGCACAAATAATCTGCCCTTAATATTTGTAGGGAAGAGAAAAGAACCTAATTATCACATATATGCTACACACTAATATATGTACTTTGTTTAATGGTCTTCAGATTTGATATGTTACATATAATGCAGATACTTTTTTTTTTCTACTCATCACAGTCTGTGTTAAGCAACTTTATTTTTTTTTTTTATTTTATTGGTTGTTCAAAACATTACAAAGATTGCAGAATCACATCAGTTACACATCCACATTTTTACATAATGCCATATTAGTAACTGTTGTATTCTGCTACCTTTCCTATCCTCTACTATCCCCCCTCCCCTCCCCTCCCCTCCCATCTTCTCTCTC